TTTCCCCTGAACCTCAACCTAAAAGGCAGGAGGACGGACGGTGGTGCTGATCAAAAGCAGATCTTCAAAGCTCCACTCAAGGACACAGGTAAGAGGCTTCTCTTCCCCATGTTAGCTTTGATGCTAACTGGGCCGCTGGGACACAGGAGATCAGAAATGACCAGAATTTATAGGTACATCAGAAGCAGATGGACAGTTATAAGGTGGGGGTGTGTTTATGATGTTCACATTTAGCCTTTTAAGCAGTCAGTATTCATAATTCTTTTCTATATCAATCTATAAATAGACAATAAATAGACAATTTTCCTTGGTGCTCCCATACACTTGATTAGGTAATGAGAGCAGGGTTTTGTCTGAAAATTCTGATATAAAAGGGCAAAGCTTAGTTGGATAACTAATGTGGAAGAACTCCACCAGCTACCGTAGATTCTGGGAGAAGGCGCTTTCTGGGAGAATGGGACATTGTCCCACTCCTTCACAAACTCCCACAGTAATCTTGAAACCGCAGCTCATTTATTTGTGTTTAACATTACATTACAAACAATATCAGAATTTGCAAATTCTTTAGTTAGAATTTTTTCTTTCTTTCTTTCTAGGGATGAATCAGTAGTTTCTGCCTTCTGAGCAACCGGAGATTTTAACCAAGATGCCATGTAAAGGTAAAAAGACAGCTAAAGTTTCTATCTATTGGGCCACTTAAATGGTTACAGACACACAGTCAGTTGGTCAACTGTATTACTGATTTCCATCAGTTGCTTTCCATTAGTACATTAATAGGCTCCCTTAGCTCATGAACTGAATGAAGAATTAAGGAAAAAATGAGTGCATAAAGGACTACTGAAGTATTGAAGAATGAGGATATGGCAGGCAAATGAAAAGCGTAATAAGATTGGAAACGGATTTCATTTAAAAGTTGATGTTGAAATAAACGGCAGAAATCTCGGAACGTTCTCGACGGATACCTCGAAGCTTTATGCACGTTACAATGCCTACACTTCCTGGTGACTTATTTATATTCAGTGCCCCAAGGACAAAACGTAGGCAGATGTTTGATGCGTAGGATCACTTGAAATAAATGGACTCCATTTTCCAGTCATGTTCACCATTCTCCTTTTGCCTCTCTTATGCTAATCATGACTTGTGCTACTGAAATATCTACGTTATTCAGTACAGAAGGCCCCATTTAGAAGGATATAGACAGAAGAATTAGTTTTAATGAATTGGTTTTCTGCTGCTTCGTAAAAAGAAATATCGAAAACACAAGGCTTCCCTCCAAACACACAAGACAAAAGAGTAGACAGACATTTCAAGGGCAACTCTGCAACTTTTGAATGGTTATGAATTTGTTGCTGTAAGACCAAAACTACTACTATATAATCAAGAGAGTAAGTGTATGTATATATATATATATATATATATATATATATATATATATATATATATATATATATATATATATATATATAAAAAGTCAGGAAAGGCAGGAGAAAGCTTCACTTAACATCAGCAGGAGCTAAGAGAATTTGCTTACCCCATGCGTTTCCTTCTCATATGCTTTACATCCAAAATCATTACAACACTTTTTAACTAAATCCTTGCAGACCCCCCCACACACACACACACTTACTTGTATCATTTCCAGGGACAATTACAGGGCTATATAAAACAACCCACACTGTTCTAGCCTCCATCCTTTTCACTGCTCTATGATGCAGAGATGAATTTGTAAAGCATGGCACAGAAGATGAAAACATCTGACCTTTAGTTAACGCGGTGTTCGGACCGTTCTGCCTGCCTGCACTGATCATCTTATGGAAAATAAAAGATTCGAAAGAGCTGTGTTGAATTTTATGGCAATTAGGTGAAAGCCACTTTAATGAGCCCTCCCCATGCACAAAAACTGCAAGTAATACAGTAGTAATAATAACATTAACTGCCAATCTCAAAGATGGTCACTATAAAATCTACATTAGAGACATCTTAAATATTACAGAAATAACAGGAACACACTTCCAGAGTAGAGGTCAACTCGGACTCTTTAATTCAATTGACCGGCGATGTTGCTTGCCAATGTTTGCATAAAAATGAAGTCCTAAAGGACCCAAACACATGCGAGAAATGGAAATGGCTGCTGAAAAGCTTTTAAGAAGAGAGCAAAGTTTGCTGAGATTACACTGATGTCGATATTACAACCAGAATCGTAAAGGATTTGTGCTTTTCTATGGCTCGCCATTCGATTTTAAAGTGTGTTATAGTATCGTATAATCTATATACAACAATGCCTGGTTCGATGATGATTTGGTTTTAATAGACAAGACTAAAAAAAATCATTCAAAATATGTATACCACCAAGTATAAATTGAGAGCTGTGTTTTCCAAGTCAGCTCACAAATAAAAATCAGGGAAAGATCCAAAGTGTGTGCTAGCATTGCCTAGTTTAGTCAGCGCTGGGAAAAAAAAAGAAAAAAAAAGCCTGACTCGTAACAATTGAGAAACTACCATTTGAGGGAAAAACATCCAACATGTGCCTACTTTGCAACAAAAGTACTGCCTTGTACTTTTACATAGATAAAAAATGCAGTGCACACAGGAACAGTTAATGCTGCATGAAGCTAAATCTCATCTCTGGCTTGTGTAGAAGCAATCACTTAAAGAATGCTGCTTCTTTAGTCTCATTACATTGGAAACAGTCTGTTAAATTATTCCCTCTGCATTTCCTAACTACTTTAAAGTCAAAATAAGAACAGTGAAATACACTACATGGGCAAAAGTTGATAGACACCTGACTGTATGTTCTTGCTGAACATCCCATTCCGGATTTAGTCCCGCTTTGTTGTTATAGTAACCTCCACTCTTCTGGGAAGGCTTTCCTCTAATGTTGGAGCATGGCTGTGGGGATTTGTGTTCATTCAGTTACAAGAATATTAGTGAGGTCAGGTACTGGTGTTGGTAGAGGAGGTCTGGAATGCAGGTGGTGTTACAGTTCACCCCAAAGGTGTTCATTGGGGTGGAGGTCAGGTCAATCTGGGCAAACCATGTCTTTATGGATCTCGCTTTGTGCATGAGAGCGATGTCATGCTGGAACATGTTTGGGCCTCTTAGTTCCAGTGAATGGAAGTACGAATGCTACAGCGTATAAACAAAAACATTGCATACAATTATGTGCTGCTACCTTTGTGGCAACAGTTTAGGGCGCGATGGTCAAGTGTTCACAAACATTTGGCCAAATAGTGTATATAGCATTGTTATACAGCCACAACTAACAGGTCAAAGTTTACAGCTCAAAATTATTCCGCAATGAATAATGCACTTGGAGGCATGCTGTTAGAGGAAAACAATCAGCAATGTGGTGGCGTGATGTGGCCTGGTGCAAGGCCGAGTCACTGTTACCATCCTGAGGTCAATTACAAGAAACTACACGCAGATAGAAAGCAAAATGTGTCTGTTTAATAAATGAAACTGCCATGGAAAGTGTAATGTTATGGTAAAAGTTAGTTCCCGTCATCAATTACTCTCACGTTATACCAGCGACAAAAAGCCATTCTTTCACCTGCCTTTTCTCTCTCTCTCTCTCGCAGCTGGAATTACTGTCAGATCTGATGTTATAGAAAATTAATCACCTACTGTTTCTTATAAAATAATAATACATATATAAATATAATAAGTATTTCAATCTAACATTTAAATGTACACAAAGACAGCAGGCAGTGAGAACAGAGAAGGTACAGACGGAAAGAGGGTGAGAGAGACAGAAAAAGAAAGAATGAATAAATGCAATAGGTCCAAGCAGCATCTCTGTTTCTGACGCATATGGACAGCCTGATGTGAGCGTGTGTACATACACTATTGAGTGAGTGTGTGTGTGTGTGTGCGTGTGTGCATGTGTGTCACCAGTGGCTGGCCTGCTTCCACTCCTGTCTGTTCAAGCTTTCCTCCCACGCACACTTAGCATGACTTCAACACCCTATACCTCTCCACCAATGTACACTCACTCACACACCCACTCAACTCAGTCCTGTCTATCACAGCTTGATCCCAGTGAAATATTCCTACAGTAAAATAACACACACTTAATTAAGATTCATCCAAGATCTGCACCTACAGCACGTCAACAGCAAGTGTCTGGAAATCATGGGGATGTGATCAAAAGCTAAATATAATACAAGCCAAAATATAACACCCACCCCCCATTAAATAAATAAATAACCCCCCCTCGACAGACAGCATGACATGGTGTGCCCTCTAAACAGTAATATATGATCAGAACCTGGATGCACTTTGTTCAACACAGTGCGAAGGCCAAGCTCATTTAAAACCACTGAGGCTCTGGAGCCATTACTTTAAATCTTCACCTGTCTGAAAGAGATGGGACTCAATTTTCAATTCTGCAGCTCTTTCTTTTCTCGCCCTTTGCAAAGCTGGATTTATTTACATGTGGCTTCGGGATAAAAGAGCTTCCCTTTAATTTGTGTGCTGCAGAGTCACTGCGCGACAGCAGGCTGTGTGAGAAGCACCATTGTGGTTCGAACCATTTTGTATTCAAGTCTGTTTTGTGTTTTTATCTGTGTATTTATTTGTATCTATTTTCTTATTGTGTAAAGTGCCTTGAGAAGCTGCTTTAAAGGCGCTATATAAAACGAAAATGTACTATTATTATTATTATTGTTAGCTGGAGATAACTGGTATCTGGACTGTTTCTCAAAAGTGCATATTGAAGACCCCACCAACACTGCTGCACTGCTACCAAGTCACCTATATTCTACCTGACAAAAACGTGGCTCAACGAGTACAGGTTTAAGAGACCGCACCTGCAGAAAAACAGGCACAAGCAGATTTAATAACGCTCTTCACAACATAGCAGCAGAACAAAGCAGAGTTGATACGTTTTGCCTTAATTTAGTTTCAAAGTAGAGGGTGGAATCAATGAAAATCAATTCTTTTTGCAGCCTGAAAGTCAATTCTGAGCAGAGTTTGCTAAAGCAAATGAACACTATAATTTTGAGAGTGGTGACTCAGAGGTTAAAGCTTTGGACTATTGATCAGATGGTCGAGAGTTCGAATCGTACCACTGCCAAGCTAGCGCTGTTAGGTCTTGAGCGAGACCCCTTAACCCTTAACTGCTCCGTTGTATCCTGTGTCAATTGGGGAACGTCTCTGAGGAGTGAATTTCTTAGGGAGCGTCTCAGAACTTCGCAAAACTATTAAGAACAATTTACTTGTAATATCTTTCATGCAATTATTCTTTGTAGGTCACTTACATCAATATCCAACATACTTGCAACAACTGAACAACAAAGGTTAAGGGCAGGGTTAGAGTTTGTACCTTTTCTTATGACTTCCCATCACACCAACCTTGCTTATTTGAATCTGTACACTTTTTCCCCCGTGACATCAGATGCATAGTGAAAAGTTCTGTACTAGTGAACACAAACTGTCGGTTCAAACACAGCTAATCCCTGCGACATGGTCCAAATAAATAAACGTACATGCGTAGAATGCGTTGTATGAGTGTAAGTTCTAAAAAAAAAAAAAAATGAAATAAATAAAATATGGACTTGTACCTTCCTCATCTTCTTGTTTTGCATCAGCAGGCGCATCCTCAGTCTTCTCTCCAGCACTATTCTCCTTCTCGGCCCCTTGAGTGGGAAAGTAGGATTATCAAACTGAAGGATTTGATAAATCCGCCTCACCCCTATTCTAATTCAGTCCTCAAACTGTTTTGATCCATAATTCAAACAGCCCAACAGTGTCTGCCTGTTTTATTAGCCCTTTCAAAGCCAGCCAATCTAAACTGCACGGCCAGCAGGCAGCCAGATTACAGTTATCATTTTTAATAATGGTGCCCAGAGACAAATTTGAATGCTGCTTATGAATAGAAGAGGGGTATCTGTGACTTGGTTTGAATTATCTATCAGAGTGAGGGCATGCCTTCATACGCACAACCATGTCGCAGTCTAACAAAAAAAACAATGCAGATATGCTACACATGAGCTCAGATTAAAGTAGGAATCATATGTTGTTGTGTTTTTTTGTTTTGGGGGAGGGGGGAGGGGGCATGGGAGTTACAAAAAATCTTAAGAATCTGTGTAGGTATCTAATTGATCAGTTTGCTGCATGTATCTAGTTATAAACGCTGTCTTGATCTTGATGTCTGTGTGGAGAACTCACCAGCACGACCAGTGCCTTCCTCTGAATCGCCGTTCTTTTCCTCATGCTTCTCTTTCTCTTGCTTGGGTCTGCTCTCTCCTGCCGACTTCTCATCCTCCACTTTAACACACAAACACACACACAAACACACGGCTAAGCAACTCCAAAGAACGAATTAACGGCTTTTTACAATGCAACTGTAACAGAACACATAGCAAAAATTTTAAAAGCAGTACTTAGGATATAGTTATTTTACTAAAAAAAAAAAACTTTACTCCTTAAAAATAGCGTAATATAATATAGCCATGCTGGAGCTCAGGTCTGTTACCATCAGAGTAAATATCTGCTAATAATAATCGTGTTTTCTGCTAGCAGGGCATGCAAGTGGATGGATCTCTTACATAGCGGCTCATTTCTCCTACACAGCTCAAAGCCCTCTCCCATCCCATACGATACTCTTTGTACGATATCATTTATCAACAGGTAAGAATACAGACTTGCACGTCCTATTGGCTGCTGTGATCATAAAGTCTTATGCGTATCCCAGGACTGTTGGTGCACACTCTGTATCCTTTCGATAGTCTACATGTAGTACTGTACATGTATGGCTTATACACTGGCTTTTCTTTATATAACTGTGCGCTGTACTGATTGAAATCCCGCTTGAACAAGATGTATTCTCTTTAGAGTCTGGTTCCTCTCAATGGTTCTTCCTTAGGGAATTTTCCTTGCCGTTGTCGCTTCTGCCTTGCTCCTTAGGCATCTAAACATCCAGCTTTCTGTAAAGCTGCTTCGTGTGGATCCGCTGCTTTTGAGGTAAGTGGAAAAAACATGTCCAGATATTTTCTATTTGAAATAAATAACTATTTGTCAGCATGTGAAGCAGCACACATGGTAAGATCCTCAAACAAACCAAAAAAACAACAACTTCCCACTTAGATTTCCCCCCCCTCATACTCTTACCCATGCACCTTGCTCTACAGACTTGTTACAGAGCCAGCTGGAGGTTTTATTGATCAGAGAACGAGTGTTAAATGGTAAAATGGTCTCCATTTGGACGTGCTTGAAATAATATTTCTTTGCCCTAGTGTTGGGGAATCGGTCGAGTGCCCTCGCAAGTCTGATCAGCATGACTTAAAGCTCCGATTTGTCACAATCTGCTTCCTACATGCTGTGAGTCGAGTGTGTGCGCGCCATAGTGGGATGAGGATTTAAGCTTTCGTCATTGAGGGGAGGCTCAGCGTGTCCCGTGATGCTTTGTTGACCGGGTATCGACACGGCCAGCCAGCCCGAGGTTTCCTTTGGTCTAAGAAATCTGTTTTCTGCTCTGTCTGTGTGTGGAAAATGTGAAATACCGGCAACAATCTTTTCAGTATAGTAATGCAGCCGTGTTCTGGTTGTTATTATTTTTCCTTCTTACTCCCAGGTCTAAATGACACGGACAAGATCGCCACAATATCACAGTTAAAAAAAAAACAAAAAACAATAACAAAACGTTTTTTCATGTATTTCTTAGAAAAACTGAGACATGCCTGAAAAAAACAAAACCAATTAATATGGTCACCCTTACAGAACAGAGTAGATATTATGGGATGATGCACACTTGTCAAACTCTGCATCTGGTGTGACTCGACAGCGGAAAAGAAGGCTGGCGAAGAGAAGTGAAAACTGGCTTTTTATAAATCAGGAACGATTTCTTTCCTTAGACCTCTGTACTGAAGCAATCTCAGAGATATAAATAAGAGATCCACTCAGGAGAGTTCTTACAGGATGGAGAAGGAGTCTTGCTAACTGACTGGCTACACTTATACATGTTCTTCTAGAGGGGCAGTGGTGGCTTAGTGATTAAGGCTCTGGGTTACTGATCGGAAGGTCAGGTAAGGTTACTGATCGGAAGGGTTCGAGCCCCAGCACTGCCATGCTGCCACTGTTGAGCAAGGCCCGTAACCCTCTCTGCTCCAGGGGCACCGTATCATCTCTGACCCCAGCTTACAGGCTTGGGGTATGTGAAGAAAACAGTTTCACTGTGACTACTGTATCAGTGACCAATAAAGACTCATCACCATTATAGCTCGTCAGCTACGTCGTTTCAGAACGCCTTGAATGTGGCGTAGCATGTTTTCATAACGGTAAAGATAAATGAATTCCGTATAATTTTATTGATACAGTATATAGGGTATATATTGTGTGGATTCTGTATTCTAAATACGACATTTGTTTCTTATTGTTTAGGGAACTGAAGATGATCGGCCAAGAGGAAACGGCTGAAATTGAACCACAACGCTGCACTTTTTACAGTAGACGTCCCGAAGCGTCTGTAAGTGCTTTGCAACAAAGTCCTTGGTCATTTTTGGTGTCTGAATTCTCATCCCATGACTTTACGCATTGGCAGTATGTAAGGTAACGAAACACAAAAACTGTCCGTATACTTATTTTTCCTTCCCTGTATTTTAATATAAACAAACGTAATGTGTTTCAGGGCGGAGTTTTCCTTGCGTTTAGAATGAAGTGAAACAGACCAGAACAGACGCACATTGAGCATTTCGCGATTTTAAATGTTAAATAATTATAATTTCAGTCCTTTTTCTTCGGATCAAACCATGCTGAGATTTGAGTTTGTAGGATTGCACCTGCACTTTGGCTAAATTATAGACTAATAGTGATTTTTTTTTATTTTATTTTATACACTAAAAGCTCAGCTGCTGCTTCTCACTGCTTCAGGGTTTCAGTCAAAAGCCTGAGATTCACAGTTCACGTTATTCAGAGTGCCACTAAATGCTCTCGTAATTGTTCGTCCCTTGTTGACATCTCATGAATTACAAATGACATCCTGAATACAGATGAAAAAGCTGACCTACTACTGAAGCCCACGTTACACAAGTTTAATTTTGGGAGAAAGATGAAGCAGCTGGTTCAGTCTAATGCCTTTAATTGCACTGGGTTTAAGCATGCTGTTTCTGGCAGAGCACGCACACGCACACACTATAAATGGGATGCAGGATTCATCTGTGGGGTTCCAGCTAACATCTGTGTGTACTCCTGAGTGGATTATGTGGCAGTGGTGAAGGCCATCCATTTTGCACCGCATGCACACAGGCAAAGGTGAAAAAACATGCAAATGGAAAACATGGAACACACACACACACTCACACACACACACACACACACACACACACACACACACACACACACACACACACACACACACACACACACAACATAACTATTCTGATGTGCTTAGTGGTGCTAATGTTAATGTAGATCACAAAGGTACTCTCCAACACACGCAGTCACACACACATCCATCATTAAAGAAGAAAACAAAACCATCCATCACATGGGGTAATTACCTACTGTATTATGCTGTGACGAGGTGATCGATTTTAAATTTGTCAGAACTTCATACACGCTAACTTGTGCTCATTTGTGCAAAGGTTTGGGGAAGGGTGTGTGTTTAGGGCTCATGGCTTTTCTTTGTGGGAAATAATACTTCCTTGCTCTTTATAATCAGGACTGGTAGATTTTTTTTTTCCTTTTCATTTTGGACCCTAAAGTTACCCTAGGTCCTACCATGTAGTCATTAATGGTGTTTAACTTGTACAAGGTATGTGTATACAGGATCACGGTCAGGTGTGGCGCAGGTGGTAGAGTGGGTTGTCCACTAATCGTAGGGTTGGTTGTTCGATTCCGGGCGGGGTGACTCCACATGCCAAAGTGTCCTTGGGCAAGACACTGAACCCCATGTTGCACCCGATGGCAAGCTAGCGCCTTGCATGGCAGCTCTGCTACCATTAGTGTGTGTGTATATATTGAGTATATATAAGTGCACATTTACCATTTACCAGGTGTGTGACCATTCTCATCATCACGGTTAGTCAAGCTGTATGACCAGATGGTTACCTCACCACCAACGTTTTCAGAATGCTG